GAATAAATTAAAAATGCAACTGCATTGGATAATTAATTATGTTTTGTTTGTTTTATTTTATTGAGATGTTCGGAACGAGTAATTTGCTTTTTGTTATGCATTATGCATTCATATAAATTGTCCAATAAAAAATAATTTAAATAAAACATAAAATCATCAAATGCTATATCCCCGTTGATATCGGAATTTTCTACAACATTAAAGGACAATGCTTAATTTTGCGACAATGCTTAATGGTTTGACGCTTGAATATACGGAAACTAATTTGAAATGGGATTTAAGCCAATATTTCCATTGGTGCATTTTTGGTGACAACAAAGTATGGCAAGAGACTCTTAAAATATAGTAATTTGTGGAATCAGTGTTGTCAAGAAATTATTAATGCTACTTTGTGAAGAAAAAATCTTTTACAAATTTCTGTTAGGATTTTATAAAAAATTTTTCCACAATTGCGTATGTGTTGCGGCAACACTTATACGCCCCAGTATTTGAGTATTTTCTATTCCAATCATTAAGGTCATGAATAGCATCATACCTCAAGAATTGGATTCGAAGGCCTACAAAAGCTCAACAATGAAATAGGAAACCTTCCAACGTTTTGCTGTCTTTTACACATGGTTTCGGTCTCACCAATTTTGACGGTCTCTTTCGCCTATGACCTCACTTCTGCTCACATCTATAGTGTGTAGGTCAATAGCATTTCTGGTTGACATTCTCATTGCTTATGATTCTTGTGTGATCCGGTTCCCATATGATTCGTACAACCGTATCATGTTGAGATAAAAAATTTATGTCACATAATAAAAATGGTTATTCACGAGACGATAACAAGTATGCTTAAATATTTTTCCATTTTCATTATCATGTCTAAATTACAATATTTAGCATCAGTCCACATTGGCATATACGTTGTGAAAACACACATATAAGCCCCCAGAACGAAGTTATACTTTTATATCGCACTACTGGATACAATTTCGATCAAAAAATCGGACCCCAATATTTATGTGCAAAGAGAATTAGGGAAGTGAGAAACTTAGATTTCAGTAGTAGTTGTGTATGGTATCATATGATCGGCCCCGTCCGCTCACTGGTTTTTATTTATGATTTGTTCAATCTTTGTAAGCAAATATATAACAATGCAGCACTGAAAATTTGTACCAACCCTGGCTGGTTTTTGAATTATTAGATAAAATCGGACCCCAATATTTACGTGCAAAGAGAATTAGGGAAGTGAGAAACGTAGATTTCAGTAGTAGTTGTGTATGGTATCATATGATCGGCCCCGTCCGCTCACTGGTTTTTATTTATGATTTTTTTTTTTAATCTTTGTAAGCAAATATATAACAATTCAGCACTGAAAACTTGTACCAACCCTGGCTGGTTTTTGAATTATTAGAAAAGACTTTAATTTAAACCTGGTTTTAAGTTTTTCGACTTGGGGTGGAATTTCAAACTATTTCCCTTTCCGTTGACATTTTTCCCGTTTTAAAACATAAATAAATTAAAATAAATTTTTTCCACAAAGGGCAAATTGGCGTGACCTTTTTAAATCAATTGGAATAAAAAAAATCTCCTCAGGACACCCGGAGGTGTCTTTTTATATAGAAAAATATTCTCATGTCCCTCTGAGGTGTATTTTTCTGTAGAAAAATATCCTCAGGTCCCTCTGAGGTCTTTTCCTATAGAAAAATCTCTTCAGGTCCCTCTGAGGTGTATTTTTCTATAGAAAAATATCCTCAGGTCCCTCTAAGGTGTCTTTTTCTATACTAAAATATACTCAGGTCCCTCTGAGGGGTCGTTTCTATAGAAAAATCTCCTAAGGTCCCTCTGAGGTGTCTTTTTCTATAGAAAAATCTCCTAAGGTCCCTCTGAGGTGTCTTTTTCTATAGAAAAATCTCCTAAGGTCCCTCTGAGGTGTCTTTTTCTATAGAAAAATCTCCTAAGGTCCCTCTGAGGTGTCTTTTTCTATAGGAAAATCTCCTCAGGTCCCTCTGAGGTGTATTTTTCTATAGAAAAATCTCCTCAGGTCTCTCTGAGGTGTCTTTTTCTATAAAAAAAATCTCCTCAGGTCTCTCTGAGGTGTCTTTTTCTATAGAAAAATCTCCTCAGGTCCCTCTGAGGTGTTTTTTTTCATAGAAAATTCTCCTCACGTCCCTCTGAGTTGTCTTTTTCTATAGAAAAATCTCCTCAGGTCCCTCTGATGTGTCTTTTTCTATAGAAAAATCTCCTCAGGTCCCTCTGAGATGCTCTATTCTATACAAGTCCTCATTAATTCCTACAATGGGAAATCATCTTTAAAGAAAAAATAAAAAAAATCATAACCCTAATGTGTATACGTTACGACAACATGTCTGCGCCTCATGAACGACATAATTTATTGATGAGGCTTGATAGAAAAAACCCTTTAGAATAAATAGAAGTTTAAATGCATCCGCCATACAGTCCGGACTTGGCACCAAGCGATTATCATGTTTTCTTGGATTTTATTTCTTTTTTCCCCAACCTAATATTAGTGTTACGCAATGAAGTAGCATTCAGACCTATCAGTGCGCTTATGGCACCAGTGGATCATCTTCATAAGTAGAAGAAAATCATTTCCTTACGTCAGCACAGCAATATACTTTCATTGCAGTACCTGCTCGGGTGCTTCAAGGACACTCATCCTAATCATCATATGGTGGATAAGACTCCCCCACCCAGGCATGTCAAAGAGAGCCTCTTTATCAAGTTGTGTATTGTGCAGGTCTGAATATACTGGTGTAGTTGCTGCAGCGCTGAACGAATACAGAGTGAATACCGTCCTCGGAGCTCATCCCCCACCCATCGCAGCTGAATAACGTCAGCTGTCAAGGCCAATCAGAGTAGTTTTGCCCAATTACGTTCAGGATGGTGCAGTCATCTCAATTAGTATTGCGCACAGATTGATGACCATGTGCAGAATGACTGCCTAGCATGAGGTACGGGTCCTCATATCATACTGCACTTATTCAATTGCCCTGCCAAACCAAAATTTAGGCACGTTTTTTAACCGAATTGAATGTTTTTACTTTGAATTTCCATTGGAAACTTGGTAATTTATTTTTGTGAAATTTGTATTTTACCCATTATATGTGTTCGTGACATAGTGCGACATCTACAGTTCCCAGTCATCCCTCATATTTTATATTAATTGATCACATAGGTGTATACGTTGCGACAACACTTATACGACCCCCATACAATTGCTATGCATAATAAGTTATAATTAAAACAGAGTTTTGAAATGTTGTATATACATTGGTAATACTCCTAGGATGGAATATATTGAATGGGATATGGAGGTAGGTATTAAATTTTCTATATAACGGTACCCCCTTAATATTCCTTATTTTGAGATTCTTTAACCGAATTTTCTATAATGTGATGTCTTTGGTTATCATTGAATAACACATCTTCCTACTAAAAGATATAGACTATAACGGTTTTTTTGGGCATGTTGACTGTAACTTTTTCTCCCTACCAAAAAGTATCAAGATTGGTACACTTTTCAGGGTAGCATATATATAAAAGTACTTCAAACATGTTATGTTATGATGATTTTTGATTACAGCAATTTGGTATTTCTGATTCTCATTGGGTAGAAAATCTTCCTACCAAAAAAATTATCATTATCGATTTAAGTTTCGGGTTAGCCACTATATAACGATTTACTTTCATTCGTTATTTTAGGGAACGTTTTTCAACCTAATTGTGTTTCGAATTTGATATTTTGAGTTCTCATTGTGTTAAATATTCTGATCAAAAAAATATCATGGCATATCATCCATATAAAAATCCCCGTCGATGACAGGTATTTTGAAAGCAAATGTCATAACAAGCAAATCTCAACTTAACGACGGTTTTACCTGTTAATATAAAGCAATAATGCCTATATTTACTGTTTATTATATTTTCTAAATAAAATATATAATTATTCATATATAAATGTGTATAATTCCAAATTTATTATGATTAAATACATTCAAAATCTGACATTTGTCTGCAATATAATTTGGGTTTAAATTTAAAATTCTGGATCGATTAATATCACATTACACATCAAGCAAACGAGTTTCTGTTTTTCAGATTATTATCTATTTAAAGATCGGAAATAAAATTACCATAAATAATAAAATAATTGCAGCCATTGTCGTCGCTATACGAACAATACCCGTAACAGGTATCCCGTTTCCTATGGGGACATTTAAGCAGTTGTTAAGGCGATGCTAATCACATTTAATAACATGGCAATCATCACTTTTTTGACAGTTGTTGTGATATTTTATTTTTATTTTAAGCAGATAAGAATCTTGTCTAACCAAACACACACACACACCCAATGATGAAAGAGAAGAGAGAAAAGAAAAAAGGGGAAGGGTGGGTCAACCCATCTTTCTTCTTTTCTTTTTTTAAGTGAATTGATTAGCTGGCCAGCCAGTGGCTTTTGGTGTTTTAATTCAACAAATTTTACGAGTTTTATTTAAATTTTTATTTATTGTTTTTGCTGGGTGCTTATTCATAGACAAATGAATTGTTGTTGTTGCTATTGTTGTTTTAATTTTAACATTTCCATTAATATTTATAAAGTGATGATGTCCAATCATTGAGACCCTGTAGCATTTCGCATGAGAGAATTTTATTTGTTTTGTTGTTTTTTTTCTTTTGTATTTGCTGTTGTTTCATTTTTTCTTATTAATCTCTTGGTCATTTGCATAAATTACGAGTATAAAACTAAACATTTTTGTATTTAGTTTATTGTTTAGATGCTGTTTAGACCTACTTTACCGTTATGATGATGCTGAAACATGCCTGTTCTATATGCAATAATTCTAATTCTATTCAAAAAAAGATTTAAATTATTAATAACTTGAAAGTCTTTTGTTAGAGTTGTTGTTGTTGACATTTCTTTTGTTCGGATTATTCAATCAAATGTGGGTCTAATGAAAGTTTAGCTGCTGTTATTTTGTATTTGAACTTACCATTGTGGCCATTCTTGAGGCTGGATAGTAACCGGGCAGTTGTCCGGAGGCAATCAAATTGCGTCGTTTATTGTGCTCATCAACGAAGACATGCCGATAGGGATTTATATCGATCATTGTGGCATCTGGTTGACAACGAGGTGCGAAGAACTGAAATGAGATGAAATTAAAAATCATTAAATTAAAAAAAAAAAAATGAATAAAATAAAATTTTAAAAATTATAAATACAAGGTTAAATAATTTTTTTAATTAAAAAAATTTATTTGAAAGGATTTTGTTATACCCTCCACCATAGTATGAAGGGTATATTAGTTTTGTTTTTCCGTTTGTAACGCATCGAAATAATCATTTCCGACCCTATAAAGTATATATATTCTGGATCAGCGTATGACGATCTAAGCATGTCCGTCTGTCCGTCTGTCTGTTGTAATCACTCTAGCGTCTAAACGAATTGAGATAGAACGCCAAAATTTTGCATAAAGTCGTCTTTTGTCTGCAGGCAGGTCAAGTTCGAAGATGGGCTATATCGGTCCACGTTTAGGCATAGCTCCCATATAAGGGTACCCCCAAATTTTCAGTATTTTGGGGTTCTTGAGGTTCTTATTGCGTAGCAAATCTCTTCACTAAAAATTATAAATATAGGCCCATTTTTTCGGGTAGCCCCCATATAAGGGTACCCTCCAATTTTCGCTATTTTGGGGTTCTTGAGCGCGGTTTTCAACCGAATTCGCTGAAATTTGGTACTTTGAGTTCTTATTGCGTAGCAAATCTCTTCACTAAAAATTATAAATATATGCCCATTTTTTCGGGTAGCCCCCATATAAGGGTACCCCGCCAATTTTCGGTATTTTGGGGTTCTTGAGCACGGTTTTCAACAGAATTCGCTGTAATTTGGTATTTTGTAGTCGTGTATGGTAACAAATCTCCTTACCAAAAATTATTAATATTCTTCCCCTTTTAGGGGTAGTCCCCTTATAACCCCTTTTTTATTTTAAAATAGTTAGCTGATTTTTTTCCGTGTGTTGGGGTTATCCCATATAGCTGTATTCCACCATAGTACCATAGGATATTCGGTAGACGAAATTTTCAGTTCATACCGCACATAGTGTGGTATTCTAAAACGATTTAGTCGATTTACCGCATTTAGGACCAGGTCCTATATAAAACATCCTACCTATTTAATATTTAGCGTGATGGACGTATTGGGATTCAAAACTAAAATATTAGCTTGGAACTTGAGCTACATCGATCCTTAATTAGGCCTAACCCCTTATATATAATTCCTACACAATGTTGTCAATATTGGTTCCGCTTTAGTATGCCTCATATATATTTTGAGATTTTAGGAAAACCTCAATTGAAATTGCTGAATTTTCTATTTTGTTTACAACAATCGATTGGAAGAATTTTCGTTATATGTTTATTCCCTATGTTTTCACATCAAAAATTTGTCAGTATTTCTATGGTGGAGGGTATCCAAAGTTCGGCCCGGCCGAACTTAACGTTTTTTTCTTGTTTTGTTTTGTATGCGCATAGGACATTTAAAATTATTAAAATTGAGAAGGGCCGTTATATGATCCTTGAATCCTAAACATTTTATAACAGGATCGTATAGGAAAAAGAAACACATAAATACAGTCACTTCGTTTGGATATACACCTTCAAACTACTTATATGGTCGGTGAAAATAGATCTATATTATTATTTTTTCATGTAGGCTTTTGAAACCCTATTTACCGAGAATGCAAAATTAAAGGCACTACGATAAAAAAAAAATAAAACAAGTACAACCATCATTAAGTTCAAAAGTACAGACACTCATAATTGAAAACTGGGGTAACAAGATGTTTTTGACCAGGAATTTGATATGGTAGATTATAGGCATCTTGATAGAAAATTCGGTTAAAATGTTAATAATACCAAAAATTTGGAGACAGCTATCTATAGAGGCAATGTGAAAACATTGACTGATATCGAAAATTATCTAAAAAATATGTTTTTCGCGCTCCAAAACTCGCAGTCTTAAAATACAACAGCTTTAGTGGAAAATTCTGCAAAACTTCTCAAAATGTGGGGAATGGAGGTTAGTGGGGCTAGTTTAAGAGAACCCCCCATTCTCGATTTTAATTTTTCAACATTTCCAAAGAGCTGGTAAATCGATACCAATTCTTGTTAATGTTTGTAACATTGCACATATATATTTGAAGATTTAAAAGAGAAGAAAAATAATTTACAAAAAAAAAAAAAAAAAAAAAAATGTTGTTGTTTTTTGTAATTAAAGAAAAGTCCTTCTTTTTGATGGCTGGCATGATAACTCCTCACTGGAACATCGAAATCCGAAAATTCAAACGGTGTTAGAAAGAGTACATGTCTCGCTCTCGTATGAACTAGGATTATTGACTTCGCACAACAATCAACAAAATATCGGACCTTTGAAAAAATATTTTTTTGAAAATCACCGATTTTTGACCAAAACCAAGTTAAAAAATAAGGAAGATCTACACCGATTGGTTTTATCCGAGTTCATACGAGAGCTATACACTCCAAGAGAAACGTGTCAAAATTTGGAACCGATTGGATTATTAGTTTTTGAGTTATCGTGCCCGTCATTCGTACAACACTGTTTCGATAAAAACGCGTTTAAAGTTTGAGAAACCCTTCAGCCGTCATTTGATGCTGACACTATAAATCGACTTGAGATTTTCACTTTTGACCCCGGGAATGGGGGGGTCCCCTTAAACTTTTAAAATACTGACAATGAGTATTTACCCTCATATGGAGGCGTATACCAAAACATGGACCTACATTGATCATTTTCTGTATATATATACTTGTGGCCAAAACTAAAGCAACTTGAAAAATTTGCTACGAATCGTCAAAATTCCGACAATTTTTGGTTCTCGCTATATAGGGGCTACCATAAAACATGGACTGGTATATTCCATTTTCTATACCAAATATTCTTGGAGTAATAGCAACATATTTGCAAAATTTTAAATCTCTATCTTTAATATTGCGAGCTCTATCGCGATTGATGATAAATCGGTTCTATGAAGGTTGGCAAAATCACAAATATGATTACATTGATTTTTTGCAACGTATAACCGAATCATTATAAACCAGTCGATGGACATTGAACAATTTTTCTTTTGGTAAAACTAAATAATAGAAAGATAGATTATGAAGTTTGTGTCTTAAGTCTTTTGTTTTATTAAAAGAGCTTTATTATACCCATCACCACACTGTGGTACAGGGTATTATGTCTTTGTGCATATGTTTGTAACAGACAAAAATAATCGAGATAGACCCATGGTTCCTTTTGAGAATATGCATAGAATCACTTTCGGACTCTATTTACGCATGTCCGTCGGTCTGTCCGTCTGTCCATGTATTTTTGTGAACAAAGTACAGGTCGCATTTATGATCCGAATTGGATGAAATTTGGCACAGCTCATATGTTTGGCCCAAGGACGAACCCTATTGAAATTGGAAAAATCGGTTCCGATTTAGATATAGCTCACATATATATTTTCGTTCGATTTAAGGTAAATGGTGTACCAAAGTCCCTATATATCTTTCGATTTGCACGAAATTTGGAATAGCATACTGATTTAAGTCTAGAATGATGTGTGCAAAGTTTCGTGAAAATCGGTTCAGTTTTAGATATAGGTCCCATATATAGATTCGTACGATTTAAGGTAAATAGTCCACTAAAGTCCCTGGAAATATTTTGATTTGCACGGATGTTGTCATAGCGTACTGAATTAGGTCTAGAATGATGTGTGCAAAGTTTCGTGAAAATCGGATCAGATTTAGATATAGCTCCCATATATATTTTCATCCGATTTTATGTAATTGGTGCACCAAAGACCCTATATATCTTTCGATTTGCACGAATTTTGGTATAGGGTACTGAATTAAGTCTAGAATGATATTGCTAAGCTTCGTGAAAAGATCCATAGTTATGCCGATTGACACAATGTGCTGAAGTAAATTAATCTCTGGCAAGTTTCCCTGAAATCGGTTCAGGTATAGATATATAACAAAAATGCGACGTCTGTTAGGATACATATGTAGGGTATACCCAAAGTGGTGAAGGGTATCATATAGTCGACCCAGTCCGACTTTGCTACTTTCCTTATGTGTGTCATTTGTGTTAAAAATAAACTCTATACAATACTAGGGTTTTTTCTAGTCTTCGATTAAGGAAACCACCACCCCCCCCCCCCCCCCCCCTCTTCACGATTTTCAATTTTCAAGATTTTCAATGGGCTGGTACACGTTGCAAATTGTGATTTTAGTCTTACAATGGTAATCCTGTTTTCAATAATAATGTTAAGTGGTATTGAAAAAAAATTCTCATTCGATTTTATTGATGAAAAGTAAAAGTATAATAGGGTTGTCACCAAAAAATATATCACGCAATATCTCCGAATTTTGGCCTATGACGAAATTTTCCTTCTGGGGTTTTCATATACTCATCAAGGTCTTTAATCTCCAATAGGAATTTTCCACCCCTCCAGACCATGACCTCGATTTTGTGACGTAGTGTTATTTTGAATTATAATACCAATACATCAGGAATGTATTTTACTCCTTAGGAAGATATTTTATTCTCATATTGAGGTCCGATCAGGCTTTTGCTGCTATCACATCAATTTCCGAAGCAATTAAACGGGGTTTCCACATTTTTTATGCAGAGAGAGAGAGAGAGAGACAAAAAACTCTATTTGTGTTGGCCCAAACAACGCGAATTTTTCCATGGAGAAGGGGATCGGGCATGTCTGTTTTGATAAAGATCGGTCAATATTTAGCTGGTCAAATGGCCCTGACTTTTGTGTGAAAATGACAAAATATGCATTCTACAGCGCATAAATTTACCCCTGAAGGACATAGACCCAAGAAATTGATAGAATATCCAAGAAGCGTGTTTGGCCTTTAAATTGATACAATTATATTATCCTATATGCTCGGATGTGGGAGTTACACTTAAATATTTACAGGTGCTTACGTATTCAGATATTATTTAGTAACACATTACCTCACTGTACGGCGGAAATATAGCGCTGATCGCTTTGAAATTTTCCATGAGGTTTCGCTTATGGTCAAGGATAACGCCTATAATTTTTGGTGATGATTAGATTATAATTTTGAGATAAAGTGGATCGAAAACTTATTTTTTTTGTGATTTTTCTATAGGCCACAATTGAAAGCCGAACATCACATCTCAACCAACGGCGAAGGGAATCTGGACAAGTAATTAGAAGGGCTGTACTGAATATTAGTAAAATTCTAAAATATGTCAGTGTAAGGAAATATGTTTGTGCAACTATTACGACATATTGCCCAGGCTCGGAATAAATATCCGCAGAATGTTAGAGTTCAGTGCTAGTGGTGTAGGGTATCGTATGACCGACCCTGTCCGACAATACTGTTCCGCTCACTGGTTTTAATTTTCCAAAGGAAACAAGAGAGATCCATAGTTTTTTCTTCTAATGATTTGATACTAAAACGACGTACGTTGAGTTTTGTTCAATTTGGATCAAATTTTATGTAGATGATACACGTTTATCTGATGAAGTCGAAATTTTTGCATAGATTTCCGCATTAAGTGTAGAATGACGTTAGTCCAAATGTGTTTTAAACACGTTCACATTTAAATATGGGTTTAGTGACGTATGAAAGCAAATAGTTCCAAATCAAGTATAGAATGGACTCATATTAAAGTGGTGTAAGGTAACATACCGTAACGAACAAGATAAATGGGTTTTTTTGAGAATATGCATAGAACCACGTACTGAATTGATTCTAGAATGATGTCTGCTGAGTTTCGTGAAAATCAATTCAGATTTAGGTATAGCTCCCATATATATTTTCGACCGATTTTATGTAAATGGTGCAACAAAGTCCCTAAATATCTTTTGATTTCCACTAAATTCGGTACTAAATTAAGTCTAGAATGATGTCTCCAAAGTTTCGTGAAAATCGGACAAGATTTCGATATAGTTTCCATATATATTTTCGTCCGACTTTATGTAAACGATGCACAAAAGTCCCTAAATATCTTTCGATTTGCGCTAAATTTGGCATAACGTACTGAATTGAGTCTAGGATGATGTCTGCTAAGTTATATAAAAATCGGTTCAGATTTAGATATAGCTCCCACGTATATATTTCCGTCCGATTTTATGTAAATTGTGCAGGGTATCATATAGTCGGGGCCGTCCGACTTTTGAACGCTTTCTTACCAAGATACAAAAAAAAAACAGTGAGTGGAGCAGTATAGTCGGACGGGGCCGACCATACGATACCCTACACAACTACCACAGAACTCTATCTCTCTGCGAATATTTATTCCGAGTCAGGGTAATATTTCGTGATATTTGCCCGATTAGAGGTCAACAGCACCTCTTCCTTACATTTTCGAATACTCAGTACAGCCCTTCTAATTACTTATCCAGATTCCCTTCACGGTGGCTTGTGTTGTGATGTTCGGATTATATTCGACTCGAAAATACAGAAAAAAATAAGTTTTCGGTCCATTTCATTCCAATAATATTATGTGATCATCACCGAAAATTGTAGGCGTTGTTCTTGACCATAATTGGAACTTCATGGAAATTTTCAAAGCGATCAGCGCGATATTTCCGCCCTCTAATGTGGTAATGGGATACTAAATAATATTTGAATACGTAAGCACCTGTAAATATTTGAGTGTAACTCCCAGATCAGAGAAGATACATAAATGTAGTTGGTATCAATTTAAATGCCAGCCACTCCTCTTGGATATACTTTCAACTTCTCGGGTCTATACCCTTCAGGAGTAAATATATACGCCCCAGAATACACATTTTGTAATTTTTCACACAAAAGTCAGGATCTATTTGACCCGCTAAATATTGACCGATCTTTATCAAAACACCCATGCTTATTCTTTGGCCTGACCTTCTTCTCCATGCAAAATTTCGCGATGTTCGCGCCATAATTACGGCCTCTGGAGCGGCCAGAAAAACCGACAAAAAATAAGTATTTGGTCCATTTCATCCCCTAAATATTAATCGATCTTTATCAAAAACAATCCTACATGCAAAATTTCATGAAGATTGGACCATAACTGTGGCCTGTATCGTGTTTACAAATTATAATGGACAGACGGACGGAAGGACGGACGGACACACATGTCTAGATCGACTCAGCTAGTCGAGATATGACGATCGGTATACTTAAAGGTGTGTCTAAGACCCATATTTCGCGGCGTTACAAACTCTTGGGGCTGCACAAAGCTATAATACCCTGACAACATAGTTGTTTAGGGTATAAATATATATATATATATATATAACATTCTACATGAACAAAAACTTACACCATAATTTTCACATGCAATATGCTTGACATCGGTACGATCATTACATAGCTCCGGATTACACCATGAAAGTTGACACCAAACCGAAGATAGTTGCAAGGGCAGTAGCACAAGTAACAACAACATCTTGCATTGCACAAACATTTTTAACATAGTTTCTCGAAGCTCTTATTAAATAACTATTTTATATATTGAAATAAAAATTTTGTTTAGTTTTGTCTCTGAAATATATTTTTATTTAAATGGTTTCTGAATTTTGTATTTTATTTATTTTTATTTTTTTTCAATTTCCAAACTTCACCAAATCAAAGAATATCTCACGACACTTCTGTTTATTTAGGAAGTTATCAATTTGCCGATCTGCGGAGCGGACAATGTTTCGCGGTTAAGCGGTGAATTTTAAATGATGTGAATGGTGTTGAAATATCAACATCTAAGCTGTGTGTTTTTTTTTCTCTTCTTTTTCTAATCACTTGTCGTTGTCGTTCACGTTGCTTTTTGGTTTTTTTGTTGTTCTTCCTTTCTTTGAATTTGCATAATTGTCTATGTGTGTGAGTGTGTCTTGTGGCTTCTGTTAGTTAATATATTTGCTATTGTTTTTATATCGTAAGCGTTTTGAAAATTTAGAACAAGCTTTTTAGTAATGTTTAAAAACCTGCGGTTTATTATTGCCATTTTTTATTAATTTTTTAATATTCAATTTATTGTTTTTTTTTTTTTTTTTTTGGTTGGTAGGAGATATTTCTTTTATTTTTTTTTTTTTTTTTGCTTTGGGACAAGAAATTTTATTCACGAGACTGCAAAGTTTTTTTTATTATTTCATTTTTTTTTTGCTGGGAACCGCTGCTAAATAGACAAAGTACTCCAATGACGCAAATTTTCGATTTTGTTATCTATCGGAAATCGTATACACAAATTATGCAATACTATGTTGTAGGTGTTATAAAATATTTCGGAAGTGCATAAAGAAGAATTTGTGTGTCATACGATTTTTATGTTTCTTGTTTTATGTCAAGAGCAGATGTTGACTGCTTTTGGAAAAGTTGAACTAATAAAGTTATTAATTAAAGACTAGAGAACATTAAATAAACAAGAATTTGTCTTTTTAACAGGAAAATATTCGAAATTGTGACGTTTTTATATTTGGCGTGACAACTAAAATATTTGTTGCAATTTGTCTACAGGCTCAACCAAAATCAACAGCAGCGGGTTTTTATGCAAATTTTTAGATTAGAAACAAAAAAATTAAACTGATAAATATGAATAGTGGAAGTAAGTGTGGTCACATATTCTTTTAATAAAAAGTTATAAGATTTTCACCTTTAATAATTATATAACACCCGTTTGTGTCTTAAGTCTTTTGTTTCAATGACCGACTCAATAGACAGAAATGATTGATAATTTGAATTTCACAAAATATAAGAAATTCACAGTGCAGTGGTCGCCTACATATACAAATATATGCAGTCGTGTTGTACTTTTGGTGCTAATTGTATTTTTTTTGTAAATAATGTAGATAGGTTGGTAAAGGTAAAAACTTCACAGTTTGGGATATATTTCTAATACCATTTGAACTTTTGATTTTTTTGTTATTTTTATCACTATATGCTAAAAAACATATTTTTAGAGAAAAGTTCTGTATAATGTTACCCCAGGTTAAACATGCTGTAACACATCATATTGATACGAATGTAGGTTATACTCAGGGCGGAGGTTATCCCCAGAGAAACACAAAAGAAAACCAGTGAGCGGAGCAGTATAGTGGGACGGGGCCGACCATATGATACCCTACACAACTACCACGAAAAGCACACTTTCGGCGGTTCTATATTCTGAGCCTGGGCAATATTTCGTGATATTTGCACCCTTCTTACCGATTATAGATCAATAACTCCTCTTTCTAAGTCTTGCATATTTTCCAAAATGTTTTTTCTTGAAGTGAATTTTTACGCTATAAAATATAAAAAAGTGGTCACTTAAGGTTTTGGTTGATTTGATCCGCTCTAAGTATTTGGTCAGATCCCCTCCAATTAAAGTTTTCGGTTCATTGCATAAAACTAAAAACGTCGTCCTTGACCATAATCGGAACTTCCTGTACAATTTCAAAGCGATCAGCGCTACATTTCCATCCTCTAATGGAGTAAAAGTAATAATATGCACATAGTCACCTTTACTTACTTACGTATAACTCCCGCATCGGAGTACATACAACCATATAAATGGTATCAATTTGAAGGTCAACAACTCCTCTTGGATATACTATCAACTTCTCGGGTATATGTCCTTCAGGGGCAAAAATATAAGCCCCAGAATAAAAATTTTGTCATTTTTCACACAAAAGTCAGGGTCCATTTGACCCGCTAAATATTGACCGATCGTTATCAAAACAGGCATGCTTATTCTTAGGCCCGATCCCCTACTCTATGTAAAATTTCACGATGTTCGGGCCATAATTTCGGCCTCTGGAGCGACCAGAAAAACCGACAAAAATTTAGTATTTGGTCCATTTCTTCCCCTAAATATTAACCGATCTTTACCAAAAACAATAGGGGTCTTCATTGGCCAGAACCCATCCTACATTTCGTGAAGATTGGTCCATAAATGTGGCCTGTATCGTGTTTACAAATTATAATGGACAGACGGACGGACACACACGGACGGACTCAGCTAGTCGAGATATGACGATCGGTATACTTAAAGGTGGGTCTAGGACCAATATTTCGTGGCGTTACAAACTTTTGGGGCTGCACAAAGCTATAATACCCTGACAACATAGTTGTGTAGGGTATAATAATACCCTGACAACATAGTTGTCGGACGGGGTCGACCATAAAAAATATAACTTTCTGCGGTTCTATATTCTGAGCCTGGGCAATATTTCTCGATATTTGCATAATCTTGACTGATAATAGGTCAACAACTTCATTTTCTACCCCTGGCATATATTCCAAATCTTGTTTTCCCGAGGTAAATATTTACGCAATAAAATAAAAATTTGGTCACTTTAGGTTTTGGTTGAATATTGACCAATTATCATCTAAATAGACGTTCTAAATATTTGATCAGATCGTGTAAAATATGCGATGTTCTGCAAATAATAATGGCGTCTAGAGTGACTAGAAAATCGGACAAAAATTAAGTTTTCGGTTCATTGCACCCCCTAAATATCTTCTCAACATCACCGATAATGATAGACGTCGTTCTTGACATTAATCGGAACTTTATGTAAAATTTCAAAGCGATCAGCGCGACATTTTCGCCCTTTAGTGGGATTTTAATAATACTAAAAAATATCATAAAACATGGACCCCTTTAAATATTTATGTATAATTCCGACATACAAGTACATAAAACGATATAATTGGTATCAATCTAAAGGTCAACAACTCCTCCAGGAGTAAATATATACGCATATGTGGGTGCAGTTCTATGTGGGTGGAAGTTAGGCGCACCCAACTTCGGACGAATGTATTTATGAGATTTGTATCTAAATCTGAGCCGATTGCAACAAAACTTCGCAGACATTAAACTGGACCTAATTCTGTACGCTGTGCAAACATTTATCTTAATCGGGCAAATATTGGGAGTTTGGTGCACCATTTACATCAAATCGGACGAAAGAAATATATAGGAGCTATATCTAAATCTGAACCAATTTCAATAGGGTTCGTCCTTGAGCCAAATTAATGACTTGTGCTAAATTCCATCCAAATGGGATCATAAATGTGATCTGTACTTTGCTCACAAGAATACATGGACAGATGGACGGACATGCATAAATTAATTCAGAAAGTGATTCTATGCTTGTTCTCAAAAGGAACCATGTGTGTATCTGTTTTATTTTGCCTGTTACAAACATATGCAAAAAGACATAATACCCTGTACCACAGTGTGGAGAAGGGTTAAAATATGAAATTTTGACTTTGACCTCATGTCATTTCTTAAGAGTGCACTATAGGTCAAATGACCACTTTTTCTGTGCAAAATTAATAGCGGCAACAAAATCATAGTTTTCGTCATGAAATTTGGACCAACGGATTTTTTGTTACTAGAATTGTTGAATTTGGAACAAATCGGTTCAGATTTGGATAAAGATCCCATATATATTTTCATCCGATTTCAAGTTTAAGATGCACCAAATCGGTAATATATGACGGATGGCGATGAAATTTGTTTTGTACGATTTTTTTTAAGTCTGAAAATAAGTGTGTCGAATTTGGATCAAAGCGGTTCAGATTTAGATATAGCTCCAATATGTATGTTCTACCCGATTTCACGTCTAAGTAACTCCAAACCCACAAAATACATCCGATCATCGTTGAATTTAGTTTGCTTGTTTTTTATAGGCTAAAAACAACTCAGAAACATTTGGTTCAGATCGGGTCAGATTTAGATATAACATCCATATATATGATCCATCTGATTTCACGTTTAAACCATGCCAAAACCACAATATACACCCGATCATAACGAAAATCAGAAAGATTCAAATCGTATCTGATTTAGATATAGCTCTCATATATATCTTCTATCCTATTTCAACTTAAACCACTTGTTTGCATTATACCGCCCTTTTGAAAAGTTATATTCTAGAATGAAAGCTAGAGCTTCAGAGAGGAATAGGCTTTTGGGGTTCTTGGGGTGTCACGTTTCTCAGTTGAAAGGTCAGAAGCTTCTTCTTTTTTACCAAATTCAAAGCTTTTATTAGGTGCCGCTTTTTTGAACAAATCTTAAGCAAAAAATTTAAATCCGAATTTAGCCATTCATGATTTTTGTCTTTGAAAACATTCATGTTTTTGTAACATGTTTCCCAATTTTGTGCTAATTTTAAGCAAAATAAAAGTACTATTTGCTTTAAAAATTTCTCTCTTTCATCTGAAATGTTGTCGACATCAATTTTGCTCACTATATGTTTAAAAATAGCACCAGCTTTTTTATACCCTCCACCATAGTATGGAGGGTATATTAATTTTGTTTTTCCGTTTGTAACGCATCGAAATAATCATTTCCGACCCTATAAACTATATATATTCTTGATCAGCGTAAAATTCTAAGACGATCTAAGCATGTCCGTCTGTCTGTTGTAATCACTCTAGCGTCTAAACGAATTGAGATAGAGCCCCAACATTTTGCATAGAGTCGTC